GTTATATAACAGGACCTAACGCAGAGGAAATAGCATCAAATAACATTACATAGCATAACATTAAAAGAAATTACACCCCTACCAATTGACATCAAAAGAAATGACGTCACAAAACATTAACATCCTAACATCAAATTACACCAACCATGATCAGCACACTCACACTTAGCAATATTCTTCCAATCGTTAAATAGCTATCAAAGACCGCCATCAAGCATATAAACATACATCTTATCTCTATCTCTATCTTGTCTTTATCTCTCTCTCTCCTTTTCTCTCCCGCTCTCTTTCTCTCTTTCTCTCTTTCTTTATCTCTTATCTCTCTTTCTTTTCTATATATAAATATAGTTAATTATTATTACCAAATTATTACAAACAATAATATTTGATTCAGGCATGGACGTCTCGATAGCTATATATCTGGACTGCCAGGTGAACGTTTCACGGTTTTCAACTCTGACCATATTAGGCTATTGCATTTATAATATATTACATAAATATTAGATACATATTATATAGTTTATAGGTTGATATTAAACTGCTGGAATTCATAGATGCAAGTAGACTAACTAACTATGTTAAATTTCTTTGTTAATCTTTTTTTACTTCCTTTAATTTTCTTTATTCGTTCCGATCGTGCATGCCTATATATTCTTGTTGATTGTTGCTATTTTCCAATGTTTTAATTTTATTTTGGTGATAAAATCGTGTAAAATAGGTATTATAACAAACTTAAATCATTTTTTAATTATTTTAAAAATTTCCGTAACATCTTAAATTTGGAGCAATATAATTTTTACTTTTGCTAAAAGTGCAATTTCGATTATTATTACTTCACAGTCGGTTAGTTAGTTAGGAGTTATTTAGAGAACATTTATTTTAGATTTAATTTTTATATATATTGGTTTATTTTCTTAAATTAAATTTACACAAAACTATTTCTGGATTAAAAAGTTGAAAATGAATGAATTTATTAAACAACAATTTATTTATTGATCTGTACCCGCACTTCTAATATTGGTTATTATTTGATTTATGTTTTTTTGCATAAATAAATAACATTTTAATTTTTAAGGTATTAAGAATAAGATAAGTAAAGTAAATTTTGCTTAAAACTTTTAATTACTAAAATTAATATGTATATTTAAGGAATATTTTATTAGTCTATTTCTCCTTTGACGTCCATTTTATTATCACAAAAAAAATGAGGTTGAGCATTTTTATGAATGAATGAAAATGATGCTCTACCTGTAAACCTGTTTAAGTTTAAATGCAGTAGTGGACTTGCCGCTATCTTTTTTCTTTTGGACTTCTAGTTTTAACATCATAACCAGGGCGACTTGAGAATATAATATATTAAATTTTACATTTATTCAAGATTTATATTAAATATGATTTTAAACTAACATTACAATTACAGTAAACTACTACCTAAAATGGTGAACAAGTGTGCTGCCTATGGTTGCAAAAGTGGATACAAATCAAATGCTGCGATAGATGCTGAAAACAAAGTGTCTTTTCATTGCTACCCAGTCAATGATCCTGAACTTTGTGCAAAGTGGAATAAGGCAAATCCACAAAGGGATTTTATTCCAAGCAGACATTCAAAGATGTGCTCTTTGCATTTTCGACCTTCGGATTTTGTTGATAAATATTCTGATACAAATTCAACAAGATATAAAAACAAAACAAGCAATAGTGAGTCCAGAATCAAGCGAAAATTAAAGCCTGGAACAATTCCAACAATATTTAATGCACCATCATACGCATCAACAATCGAGCATCTACCGAGACCTACAACAAATACCGAGACCTACAACAAATTCATCTGCTGCGTGTCGTCGAGAAGGTGAAATAAAAAGAATGAATGAACTTGAATTTGTTAAGTTGGTCAAGAAACTCTGGGATATAATGAATGTTAAAACGTCATCCAAAGGCAAGGCGAAAATCAACAGTGATATGGATCCTGTGAAGTCTTCCAATGATTGGAAAATTCACTTCCTGTTAGAATTTAAAGATTTTTTGTCAGAATGGGAAATGATGAAAGCAAATAAATTAAGCAGAGAAACATTCATTGCTATGAAACAAACTTGTTCTGCTTATGCTGAATGCAGCAAGTATTTGTTAGATAGCATCGGTTTTAATTATGTCCAGCTTGGATATCTACAGTCGGATCCAATTGAAACTAGGTTTGGGTGGTTGCGGCAGATGTCAGGAGGAAACTATTTTGTTTCTGTAAGACAAATTATTGAAAATGATAAAAAGATCAAAATGGTGTCATTGTTACACCACTCAAAGTTGTCAATCAAAAAAATTGATGATTTCATTGATGATGTGGGCATCGTTGAAGATACTAATATATTTGAAGCAGCTAATGAAATCGTCCAACAACTTCAATCCACAGCCTCATTTGCCTTCAGCGATCCAGCAGATGGTGAAGCATGCACAATATATTACATGTCAGGAGCAGTCGCTCACAGTGTGCTTCATACTACACGATGTGATGATTGCAAGGAAATATTAGTTGATGATGAATCTATCTGTGTAGATGTCCACCATTTAAAAGAGCAAGTATTTTTTAAATGATGTAAACAGGGGAGCGCTAATAAAACCATCGGAATACCTATTCATGACATGCATAGACTGTTGGAAGGTATTTGCAGGAATGAAACAGTCTGAGGCCATCATGAAAAATTTTCTCACTTCATCCAACCAGAGGAGTCTTTTTTGCAAAATTGTTGATATGCTTGTCATTGAGGATGCTATTATCATTGATAGTAATTACTGTGTTAAAAGTCATGATGTAAAACGTATGATTGCTGAACGGTTTTTTAATTGCTTGACAAAAAACTTTGTTAAAAGTGTAAATGAAAATATTAACGGTTCATCTCTTAGTAAGAAAAGAAAGTTAACTAAATTAAATTGAAATTTGTTTTTAACAGTTTTCTATTTGTTCATTTGTTTCCTAGTTTTATATAAACATGATAGTATTATGTTATATGTACATTTCAATGATATCTTTTAAATAAATGAATAAATTTATATGTATATGTATATATTTTTAATTGTATTTAATGCATAAATAAACAACTATTAAACAACCACGATTTTCGTCTTGTTATTACATTGCAAACACCTCAATCAATGGCCTAATAAGGTCAACGCGCAAATATCACCTTGGTTTCCAGTAGTACAATCGAGAATTCCATGGCTAAGTGTTTAAATCTTTGGTTGGCATCAAGGTCTCTAAGGCTTAAAATTTGTACGTGTGTATATGTTGGAGTGTATGCATGTGTGTGTGTGTGTATGTATGTGTATGTATCTTAAGTGTATGCATGTGTGTATACGTATGTATGTATGTGTGTGTTTATGTTTGTGTATAGAATTATCAAACAGAATTTATTTAAAGTATTGATAGAATTTCAATGCTCAATGTTTGATTGATGTATCTCATCAAACAGAAAGTTTCTCTTTACCTTAATTTTTCATTATCATCATTATTATCATTATTATTTTTGTTAATATTAATACTATTATTATCATAATCACCATTATTTTTACTATCATCATCGTCGTCGTCGTTAGAAAGTTAAAATCTTCATTTCACGGCTGCAACAACAACAAAACTTGTGTGGCATTGAAGCTGCTTGCGTTCTTGAAATATCACCGTCATCGTCAAAACGCCGATTAAATCTCAGTTACCTTCAGCTATTTCCTTGCTTCATGTTATATGCTCGGTTGTTAACAATACTCAACAATTTTAACGCCAATTCCGGTTTTAAAACATATTCCCGATGCCAATACCGATATTCATTTTTGAAAGTATTTGTACTTGTGTGAAAGCAGAACTATTATTTTACCCATAACAATGCATTCGGTAGTTAATATAAAAAATGAAAATGATTCGGTAACGATTGTTTGAATCATGAAATTTGAAGCAAGTTGAAATGAAAATTTTGTCCAGAGTCGAAGTTTGAGGTCTGGGAACCCGCGGAACAAGCAAGCGAAGGCTTCTAATTTTTTTCGGCATAAAAAAGCAGTTTTGTGTCAGCAAACATTTTTATTCTCTAATCTACTGCCTTTTAAAAAACGAAAAAATCTTTCAAGTTATTGATTAGACAGTTTTTGACGTTTTTTGGAACCACTGAGAAGGAGAGCGTTCTAGGATATGAAGGAGAGTTGGGACAAAGCAAGCTTTAAAAAACAAAGATGGAAAAGACGCCAAAACTTTAATTTAAATCTCAAACTTACCGCCTTAAAACGCTCTAAATGTTGAAAATCAATATAATCACTTATGAAAACATTCAAGAGTGTTTCTATCAAGTATTCATTTTTATTTTTTCGAAAAGTATAAACAAAATCAAGTTCCATACTCGGCCTCCAATGTATTGCTGATACCGAAATCAATACCTAGATGGTATCACATCACCGAAAAAACATCAGATTAAGTGTATGGGGATGGCAATTGAAAATAATAATTTATTTTAATTTAAATTAACGTTTAACGCATTCGTCAAAAAAATGCTTTAACGTTGTTTTGAAAAATGCAGGAAAACAAAACTAAAAAATGTACAAATAGAATAAATATTAAAAAACATCTTTATTGAATTAATTCGAATTTTAAAGACTGACCTATAAATTGATTTTTTTTTCTTAAAGTTAGCTAAAACAAGTCCAATATTGTCCGTATAATGCTTCTCTCTCTCTCTCTCTCTCCCTCCCTCCACGCTAGTTCTTTTTCTTTCATTAAACCTCCATTTTGTTAATTCCCTATACTGAAAAAATCGAAAAAGAAATAAGAACATTGAGCTAGTCAGCCCGAAGAAGAATAACTAATTATTGTTAATGGCGAGCCGCTGATTAAGAGTAATTAATTTCATATTTTATTAAGATCTCTTTCTTTTTTGAATCTAATTTAAATCATATTTATATGTTTTATTTTCATAATTATTTAAAATTAATGCCATAAAGAAAGATATCTTATTTGTTACAATGCAATATGAATAAACAATCTGATTTTAAAATTTTTCAAGATGTCCAAGATGTTCCACGACAAGTCGAGCGCGACTCAGATTACCCTACAAAGCACTCATCATCAACTAATTTCAGATGACGACGACAACGATTTTGATGATGATGACGATGTAACTAATGATGATGATGTAACTAGTGATGATGATGGCGATGATGTTAGCAGTGATGATGACGATAATGGTTGCCATAGTTATGAAAACGATGTTGATTTTTATGCTGATGATCATTTATATGATGAAGATGATGATGAAGATGATGATGATGAGAAGGAGGAGGAGGATGTCAGACGTAAGAAGAAACCACATCAACCAGGTTCACCATGTAAATTTTTTAATTATGCAAATTATTTTCGCCTAGTTTCAATACTTGGAAAGGCAGATATCAATTCAAATATGTGCGTATAAATTTTTTTAATTTATAAGAAATTTACAGCGGTGGCGTGGCCAAATCTGGATGTCAGCGAACCCTAATGGCCCGAAACTTGTTATTTCTTTAGTACCTTTGTACCAAACGGTATTAAATACAAAAGTCAAAAAGGAGCATTTTATAAATAACTTTTTAAATAATTGAAAGTTTAAATAAAAATTAAAATAAAAGTTTTTTGTGCATCCAAATTTAATAACAAAACTAAAAAAATTTATCTTCAAACAAGGAAGAGTTTCCACTGAAATTAAAACGACAACCATAAACTATTATCAAGTTTTTTATTAAAGAACATAGAAAAAGATGTATTTTATCTTCATATTAAACTCACTTCTTGATCAGAAGTCAGGTTGGTGTAGTGTAGAATTAAGATGATTTAATTCAGTTAGCTTTTTTACTTTTCCTTTCTTTGAACTTTCTCTAACTTCGACGTTATTTGGTGTGCTGCAGACAAAATTTCAAGATGTGGTGCGTAAAATAAAATAAGTGCTTGATTAAAAGCTTGAAATAAAATGTTTATGTTACAAATTAAGACTTTTTTAAAATACAGGTCTTAAAGAAAGACAAAAAATTTTTAAAATAGAAAGAACAAAATTATAGAAGGTTCATCGCCGATTGTTTATGAGACAGCCATGACACCACTGGAGATGTGTCGTCATTTTTTAAGCTGTTACAAATAAATAACATTTTTATTTTTATGATAAGTCAAAAATACTGTTTTATTTGAAAACAATAAAAAATGTTATCTATTATTTCATTGTTCTGGAGGAGAGTTTTTACACAAACACTCAAACATCACTTTTAAATAACCAGCCGTCGTCGTCCAGGTTGGCGTTTCATTGTCCATTTCGTTCTTATATTAAAAGAAAATATACATTATATCAACGTTATTATTGTTATATTCTATTTAAAATTATAATTAGTAATAATAAATTATATTATTAGTGAAAATGCAAATAAACATTTTAGTATCAGGCTTTGAACAACCCTGCCCAATGTTTGCTGGTATTTCCCAAAAGGTTTATAAAATATATATTGTGTCGTGTTGAGACAAAATTTGATGTAATATTTGAATATATAATGTGTACAATTTTTTTTACTTCAATACCTTTTTTAATTTGTTTGAAGCAACCGTCCACCAGTCAATAAGACAACCAACCAGCCAACTAACCAACCAACCAACCAACCAAACGATCATTCAACCAACAAACCAACCGACCAAACCAATCAACCAAACAAAATGCCACTAACAACTTATTACTCTTCCAGGTTCAGTTCATTTGAAAAGAAAGTGGATGTTGAAAAGAACACGAACGATAGCAGAAAGAAAAAGAGGAGGAAAAGGAAGAAAAGAAAAAGGAAGAGCGGTAAGGGAAGCAGTGGTAATACAATTTGTCCTATTCTCGTGTTCTCGGATTGTGGATGGCCATGTTGTCAGCCGTGCATAAGTCCAGGTTTCCAGGCCTGTCTTGGTCCAGCGTGCTGTCAACCCGGTTGTTATCTACCATTCTGTCTTTGCGGAAACAAGTAAGTCATCGTCATTCTCGTCACCGTCGTTTGCGTGTCATCAACGAACCTTATCAGCACCATTTATGTTAAAGTTAACATATCAGTTTGATTTGATATATCCGTTGATAACTTGATTGAGATGTTGTATTTAACATCAACCAGTGTGATTAAAAACTTAATGAATTCCACTACGCGTAACTCCAATGACAGATCCAGAGGGGGGGGGGGCGGTGGGGACGATCGCCCCCCCACTTTGAACTGAGGTTTGATATTTTATGAAATAAATAACAAAAAGCCAAACACTTCAACTTCTTGATTTTTTTTAAATTGAAAAACATTCTTCAAAACATTGTTCTGTTATATACATGAAATATTTACAAGACAAATGTCATTTTTCTACATTTTTTTCGGCCAAACCTTGTTATAATGTCTTCAATATCTAATTCAATATCGCGATGAATGTTCATTAAGGCTAATCCCGTTAGTCTTTCCTCATTCATTTTGGAGCGCATCCACGTTTTTAACCGCCTCAGGGTAGAAAATGAACGTTCTGCCGTTGCTACTGAAACAGGCATGGTGCACAATATTGACAACAGGCTGTGAATTGTCGGATAGAGATTGGAATTGCACAATGCGAGAGCTTCAATGGCCGTTTTGGGCTGTGAATTCATCTTTACCCAGTACTGCGTCCAGAGCATTTCTTCATTGCGTACAAATTCAATGGCCGTGTTGTCATCATACGAGGTCAAAT